CAATTCTTTCCTTTGACTTGCTCAAGTAGATTAGGGATTACTGCACTACATAGACTTTGGTAAAATTGCTAAATATAAACTGTTTCTGAGCACCCAAAGTGCCTGGAAGATGACAATACACCAAAATATCCCATGGTACCAGATAGCCTGACTCATTTGGAAAATTGCAAAAAGTAAGACTAGCTGGGCTTGGATCTGCCATGATCTGCACCATTTGAACTCTGTGATGGTACACAGGTCTGAAAAGCAGCTGGATTTGGCAATGTGAGAATTTTCCTACAGGAGCTTTCAGCTGGCAAAAAGCTGGTCTTATCCAGCAGCTGCATCACTGCCCACACCTGACCCTGGGTGCAAGGAGCGTTTCAAGAACAGGGAGGACAAGGAAAGGGGTGTGGTCAGAGAACTGCTGTAATAATGTAGGGAATGGAGTCAGCTGGTGCATGTTAGAGCAGCTCCTAGGCACTTTTAGCCTAAACTGGGGCAAACCCAGATGCACCATGAAAATCAGACAACTGTAGCTGCTCAGCACAAAAATACAATCTGGGTCAACAATGGAGTTGTTAATGGAGATAAAGAGGAGAGAGAATTAGGACCAATGTCCTGTAAAATAGCAGTTGTAGGCTAGAAATAATAGTGAAAGGCTTACTACACTGAGCTGTAGAGCAAAAATAAGCCATAGATGAATGGATAGAAAAAAGTCACAGTAGAGAGCATATTAATTTAGGCACTTTGGGGAAAAATTGTTGAAGAGCTGTGTACCATTTAGCAGAGTCATCTCTTAGCCAACTATCTAACAAACCTCCCCAACACATAGGGAAGACAAAATAAAGCAAGACAATGATCTACCTACACCAGCAACCCCTATATCTTTGCAAGCTTCTGACTGAGGTAGCATCCAACTCCAGGTATCATTTGAGCACTCTTCGGGGCAAAAGTAAACTTGCAGGGACTATGGGGCAAGAGATATACAACAAATGTGTATCAGCCTATTGACGATACTCCATATTTAGAAATAATAACTAGTATTTGGTAAAGCCATCTGTTCTTCTTAAACAATTATGGCTACTAGAATCATGTGTACTGAGTAGTCCAGTGCAGAATATGAAATATTTGAGAGCCATTTGTCTATTTGCCAGCTTTAAATGTGGATACTTTGTACTTACCACTAGCTCTGAAGTTGTCTGAAAGGTTTCAATGTAAAAGGAGTAATGTTGGTTGTCCATTTGCTTTAAGATTGCTGTCATGCATGCCACAAAATGACTCTAAAACAAAAAAAGAAAAAATAGTAAGGAAATGCACATCTAGATTGTTGATTTAGAAGGAAATGAGAATAACGGATTACATCCTGCAATGCCAAATCACTATATCACTAAAAACAAACAAAACCTGTGCCAGCCCAAGAATGTGAATTTTCAAAAGGTAAGAAGTTCTTCTCACTATGTATACATTGTAAAATATACTTAACAATAACTTACAACTGGCAATACTGAGGATACTACTCAAAGCAACTTTCTTTGATACAAAAGTGGTATCACTCTTAAGGGAATTCAGTGTGAGAGACAGTAAATCCAACTTCCTACAGGACATGAATTTGTATGTGGTTTAAAATTCCTAAAATGAATGTGATATTCCATAGGACTTTTGCATAACAGATTCATAGAAAATGAAAACTTTCTATAAGATCCTTTTGAATATTCATAAAAAATTAATTATATCCCTGCTACAGAATTCTACAGGAAGGATACGAAAATCTAAAAAGAGAGAGAAAATATCTGCTTAATTTTTTTAGATTTTTCAAGTAGCTTCAGTTGAACCCTATCAAATGTGTATAGGATCCAACAGTTTTCATCCCTATTAAATTCTGTAAAACTATATTCTTCTGAATTTTAAAACAGAATTGAAATAAAATGGAAAGTAATTTATAATCTTAGGTTTCCATTTCATTTTACAGAAGTGCTTCTTGTTTGCCAAACCTTCAGGATATACGGGTAAGGCTAAATGATTGAAGTTTCCCTTTGAGGAACACAGTATCTCTTCCTATTGATACTTTTTATGTTGCAAAAATTACAATAATTATTTTGATAACGAGCAACTCAAAATAATCTTTGGATTTCTCTAAAAGAAAAACAACATGAAGCAGAGGCAAGTCTTGAAAATAACTGTTTTCTGACAGATTTACTCAAAACTTTGTATTTGATAAGTTTACAAGGGAGTCCCTGATCTTTCCATCCAGAAGTTCATTTCTAATTTTTACTGGTCTTGGGAAATCAGATTCCTCTCTTAATTCTGATTGACTTTATATTTTGTTACCATCATAAATTCAACAAGATCACACATTACTGTAAAGTATCAGCTGCAGTTTATCCCACCCAACCATTTTGGCTACTACATACTGCAAAAAAGGGAAACCTTTCTTAACTTCAGATTATGGCCACTAGAGGTCTTTTACTTTCATATGGTAGCTGCTGTTCAGTTTGTACTGCTTTTTTATTTATTCCTACGTGAGCAGACCCAGTACAGTTCTTGCATATAAACAGTGAAAATTCCAATATAAAGGATTTATTATACCTTCTTTTGGAGTAACATTAGTGCTAGCCAGAACCTTGCCTACTATGTAAGCCTAAGAAGATACATTTTCTGCGGGTAATCCCAAAGCTTTCAGGTAAGGATTTGTATGGTTTTGGTTACTGATGTTCTTCTAAAAGGAAATGCTGATTTTCTGTCCTACAGTAGTTTACTTTTACAGGTATTGCTCAAATTAGACTCTTTTGTGAACTCAAATCCACAACTGCCAGGAAGCTGCAGTGGGTGCAGTGGTGAGACTTAATTTTTTCCAATGTCTTGATTTCAATTTTGAAAGAAATAACTGCCAACACAAATTACAGAATATTACACATGAAAGCATGTGTTGTATTTTTCTCCTTAAGAAGCTTTAAGAGATGCTACAGAATGTGTTTTCTCCCACTAATTTGAAGTAAGCATTTGCTGAGATAAGCACTCTCTGTACTAGACTCTAGTAGATGTACTATCTTGCTGTTCAGCCAAAATGACTTTAAGAATGTTAATTTATTTGTTGCAACTTTTAAAATCTGTCTAGCAGTATAGTATTACAGTCTAGCATGAGTGCCTGTGTTTAGTAACTTGTAAATGGGAATTGTGGAAATTAACAGATGACATATGTTGGTTAATGAAAGCAGTTCTCCTACCAATAAATATCACAATTTTGTCAGACAGTTTCCGGCAGCAAACCTGTCAACTTTCACAGCAGTGTGACTGATTGATATATGAAATGGAAGGTGCCAGCACAGCAGGTTTTCTGTCAAAAATCCGACCCCCCCTCCACTTCCCAATATCATGTTAAGACTGAACTGTCTATTAAATTTATATTGGTATATTAACTTTTTATGACCTTTAATCATTTACATGAAGCAACCTTGAGTATAATTATAATAATTATATTTAACCACTTGATTTCTTATGTTGAAAACTTGCTCTCCCCCCTCTCCAAAAGCCAGCAAGAAACAGGTATAGCCTCTCATTTCACAAGTGCTCAGGCATTCTCAACATCACCATTCTCACACTGTTAGAACTTAAGTATACTTCACAATTCTGTCAGCAAGTATATGTATATTCATCTAAATTGTCCTACATTGTCTAAGAATCTTATAATATTTAAGAACCATTAACTACTTCACAATAAAGTAAACTCCACAAATTAAGCAATCAGTTTTTAAATTCACTTAGTATGTTTATAACTTGGGCATAAGACATTTGGAATCAGGAACATCCTGCAAACATGCTAGTGGACTGTGATGATGTGAAGTTTCTTTTTTAAAGAAGCACTATATGTAGGGAACTGAATATTTAAATGCAAATAAAACAAGTTGCAGAGAAGATGAAGTTATCCAAATAAACTTGACAGGTCATTTCAGCTGTGCTTAGCCTTGTTAAGATGTATCTTATGAATCACAGGAGAGATGCATGATTGAAACTAGGTCAAACATGTGTAAAAATAAGTGTAATCACAGTGAACACTTGACTGATGAAGGAATACTTAAAATGATGTTAACAGGAAGATTTCTGCTTAGAATACATTATTATGAAAAGTTGCAATAAATTATGTACATTAATTTACCACCTTCATGCACAGAAACATCTTCACACCAGATTGACAATATAACTTCTTAACAAAGCAGTGTCTGTTAACCAAATAATTGACAGCACTTGGAAAAATGAAATACATCGGTCTGAAAAAAAATTAGGTAGCTGTTAGAATATTTGCTTATATCATTAGCAGGAACAAAAAGCATCACTTAGGATGTCAAAGGGCAATGAGACACAGATGAGGAAACCCACTCTTCCAGTAAACACTCAAAACTCCTGAACAGTAAAGAAAACACCATGATCCATCAAACTTCAAAGAACTGTAGAGTGTATCTTGCAGTCTTAGTACAGATACTGCAAAGTGTTAGCTAAAAAGAAACTATCCTATTTACAGATTTAGTATAAACAAACCACATAGTCAATGATAAGATATTCAATCAAGAAATCAAATGTGGCTTTGTAAGCCTTGGAGAGGGGAGATGTCTATTTGCCCCATTCCCACTAAAGTCAATGTCCATGAGCTGCATGACAGGTTTCAGAGTAGCAGCCGTGTTAGTCTGTATCCGCAAAAACAGGAGTACTGGTGGCACCTTAGAGACTAACAAATTTATTAGAGCATAAGCTTTCGTGGGCTACAGCCCACTTCTTATGCATCCAAAGAAGTGGGCTGTAGCCCACGAAAGCTTATGC